ATTTAATATTTATCCTACGCCTGTTTTCTTTGCATCGTATGTGATTATTATTCTAGGCATTTTTGTGTACGATATTTCCGATTTTCGGTGGAGCTGGTGCCCTCATATAAATTACCCTTGTGATGACTCTCGCGACAGCAGTAGTGCTCCTGCGCAATCGCCGAATTCTCATCCAGACGCCGTTGAGGGAGGCACAGCATATGAGGAGGAAATAACGCCCGATGCCGGGATTACCAATAATAGCAACCAAAAAGCCGGTGGTCTCTAAGAGCAAAAGAGGAAGAACGAAATGTTTCTATTTGATTGTTTAAGCCGTGAGGGATTTTTCCCTTATATATATTTTTTGTTCCACTTCACTTATATATGTATATATGAAGGGAAATAGAGGAATACAGACGTCCGTGAGGACTGCGTGACCGGATAGGGGGAATTCGTGGGTGATGGGGCGGTTTCTTTCACCACCATGTTGTTGTTTTCTGCATGAACTTATTTTAGTTTTCGGAGTTACCGCCTTGGAAGGTAGTGAGTGGAGTATACTTTTTTTCCCTTCTCACCTTCTTTATTACCGTTTACGCGAAGTGGGGTCCGGTGGTTGCGGAGGGCCTTTGTAAAGAATGCCACTTTTTTTGGTTCACGGCGGCTTCAGTTATTTTGTCGCATTTTTTATGAGTGTGTTTGTTTTACTGGCGCGTGAGTGTTGTTCTTCCAGCGGTAATTTTGTCCGGTGCTTTAAACCAAACTGTATTTTGCCACTGGTGCACGTTCGCATTGTGGGAATGGGAGGAGGGGGCCTTATCCAGGCGCATATTCCCTTTTTCCTTTTTTATTTATTTTTATTCTCTCTCTCTGTGTGTGTTTGTGGCATCCACATTTTTAATGATTTGTTGGGTGACTCGTGCATGAGATTCCCGACTTTGAGGGAGAAACAAAAACAAAAATTTGTCTGTCCAGCATTTTGTGGACAGACAAACGGTGGAACAGAAGAATGACGATTTTTTTTTACCCTGACTTCTTTGAAGAAGTTTTTATCTGAAATTGTGAAAAATAAAAAATAGAGGGGAAAAAAAAAGGAGAGAAAAAAAGAAAGGAGGGAATTGGAGAAGTACAAGGAAGGAGAAAATGATCGATTTGGGTGCCTCTCAGCCGGAGGCCGTACCTTCTTTTGGAGAAATACCCGGAGAAGGATCTTTGAGGGGCGTCTCGATGGAACTTGTTGAACTTCCGCCAGGTCTGCTGTTACCCGAGGCAAATCAAAGAGACTCTGTGAATTTGGAGGATGATGATTACAGTTCGGATAGTTCCATTGGGGGCCCTTCTCAACCACCACCACCAACAGAGCCACCGCCACCACAACAGCAACATCAACAGCGGCAACAACACGAGGTGCGTCCCTTCAATCGTCGTAGGAGACCACCAAGAGCTGCCTCGAATTTTGAGGAGCGTGATATGGGTGCAAGCAGACGTATTGCGGTTCATCCTGAGATGTATCGTTATTGCAACAAGCCTCCTCAGAAGAGCGTGTGGAACCAGGCGCTTGGATTTTATCCATCGGAATATCTGCGTATGGGTATGGAGGGTATGACTTCTGTGAATCTGGAGGATTTGGTGAAGTATAGTTCTGCGGACATTCTCTCCCGAGCGTGGCCATTGCTTTCCGCTAACGCCAAAAATTTGACATTTGCCCCCTTTTCGCCCCTTCCAGAGCTTCCAGACATACTGAATGTGCGCCATCCAGACACTGATCAAGTGGCTCGTTTTATGCGACTTACTGCCGTTGAAATTACCCGACGTAACACACTTCCTTCTCTTGTTTTCCTTCGGTCATTACTTGTACAAGCAGCTGTTAATTCGAGGGTAAAGAAGAGAGAGGATGCTTTTCTTTCCGTTCAATTGTACTCTGAAGAGTTGCTACGCCCGAACTGGGAAGATGAGTGTTCAGAAAATGCTGAAAGTATAGCTGACAACGATAACGATGACGCTGAAGGGTGGAATTTGGGCAGCGTTGATATTCCTTTCAATGATGTCAACCACGTGGATCCTCTTGATTGGACCATGGCTGTTCTGTATGAATCACTGAAACCTAAAATACCACTACAAGTTCTTCGTTTACTTCACAGAGTTGTGGACAGCTGTGGATTGAATTCTTCGAGTACAACACTTTATTCATGGGGAATTCAACAGTTGACACGGATGCTTCTTATTCAGACGGAAAAGGAGTCCTCATCTGAGCGGGAATGCAGCAACAGTCAAGACAACTTATGGCTAAGAAGTGCAATTTCACTTTTGTTTAAGGTTGTCTTGGCTTCCAAAAAAATTGAAACACTTTTATCTCTTTTTAGGTGGGTCTATAGACATTTAAAGATTGCAGGTGAATTAACATTAAACGGAATTGTTCCATGGATTACTTCCATAGAGACATTTGTGCGCCCACGAATGCGTCTTTCCTTTCCTTTCTCTTGGGTGAAATCATATATCCCTTTGGCTCATTCACTCGGGTTGGAGTTTTCCCGGAGCATTCTTGGCGTTTGTGTTATGCAGCACAATGATGAACCACACGGCATTGTATTGACAAGGAATGGAATTTACAAGATCCCTTTAAAGCCGCCATACAATGTTCTTGTTAAGAATGAAGACGTCCATTTGAAGGAGTGTCACGGGGTGTTTATTGAGAATGACAATATTGCGGTACAGTCTGGGCGTGCTGGAGTTGTGACCTTTTATGACGCAGAAACACTGCAGGTCCGTCATGTGCTGGATGTGTGCAGCGCCCGTTCACACGAAGAGTTTCAGGTATACTATGGAATGGGAAAGTTTGTGTCACCGCATTTTTATCACGACGCCAATTCACCTTTGTTTGCGAGTTTTGATGCATCAATGAAAATTAAAGGGACGGTAGAGCCGAATGCTATTCAAATCGCACAGGGAACTCAGTCTCTCAGTGTTCAGTTCTTTTTGTATATTCAACCAACTTCACAAAGTACTTCTCTAGAGCTTATTAACCTGAATTTGTCAGGTAAGGACTGGCTTTCGGTACGAATCGAATTGGACGGCAGGAACTCATGCGTGTGTATTGTATTTGATTACTGTGGTGCTGTTGTTACAGAAATTCAGGAGCCAATGCAGGATGGATGGGCATTTTGGGACGCCACTTTAAATTCTTCGAACGATTTAGCCTATTGGAATGTGTGTAAAGATGGTGTGCTACTCGAAAGCAATGGAAGTGAAGATGTTATGTTTAAACTCTCTGCTCCAACAGCAGCTTCCATTCGATTTTTGGAAGGGTCATTTAGTGGGTTTATCTCCGGGTTTCAAATATGGCACCGATCTGAATCCCTCAGCGATCTTATTGCTAGTGAAGCCGAAAGCTTTTCCCGCGCGTCTGAGACCAGCCTTTTGTGTTACTTTAAAATGAATGAGGGCTCTGGATGCTGTTTCCGAAGTGAGAAAGGGAATCATGTTTGGAGGGGCACAGCACCATCTTGGTGCGTGCCACAGAAATCCGCACGTGGCAGATCTGTAGAGGACTCGGAGGTGATACCATATGTTCCTTCTGCCGAATATTATGTTGTGACAAATGAGTGCGAAATGGCTATAGTGGAAAATGGATTCTGCACGTGGGTAGGTGAGGACGGACGCATATTGGAGCAGCGTTTTTTGCATGTGAGACCGAGTGAATTGTATTTCCTTTGCACACATACCGGTCGAATGTATAGTATTGTTTCCGACAAGAGCGGTCTTTGTAGTCTTCGCTGGATTCAGGCACCATCGGTTCCTACTAGTTATGTAAACACTCTTCCAAGTATGAAGGATGGTGGAGCCGTATGTGAAAAAATACGTGTTTTTGCCAGGGAGAGGCGTCCGATCACACCGGTGTTACTGTCACATTACTTGCTGCACCAACTATCCACCGCCCTGTTAAATGACGTTGGATGTGGGGTGGATACTCGGCACACGGCGCAGTTGTTTAGGTGTAATGAAGTCTCTCTTCAAATGGTTTCTCGACTTGTTGATATTAGTGACGAGTTGATGACAACCATAGTTACTTCTGATGTGAAGAATAATTTTCTCTTTCTATTGCTCTCGGCATGTGGTCGGTTACTGACGCGACAAATAAGATGGATGGGGCGAGGTTGTCCTCCGAAATTGGTTTCCACTGTGGTTAGTATGTACGAAAGAATTCATGAGCAATCGTGTGATCCCGACAGTTTTTTAGCCGAGGTTCAGAGGGTTTTTGCAAGGCTTCATCGTGTATTTCTCATTGAATGCGTAAGTCATGATTATCAGCTGCAGCGCATTATGGAGTCTAGAAGGCTCAAAGACGTCAAGGACCTGCTTGTCCCAGAGTACTTGCCTTCATTGGTGTCGAGTGTCATTGAAAAGGATCTCAAGAAGCCGTTCATGACGTTTCTCAATCGCCTGAAGGAAGAGTGTCTGGCAGAGACCGAGTCTGTACTCAGTGGTCAAAGGACACCTTTTAGACCCTCAACGGCAACGCTGGCAACACTGCTTGGTATACTTTCACAAGAGACAAACTCCCAATGGCACTTAGTCTCCATTGCACTAGTTAACTCTTTATGTAAGGGAGTTTTACGCATTTTTAATCGTCTTTTTCCTCCGACGTTGCCTGGAAAAAAACGAACACTCGAGGAACTTGAAATGTTGAAGCAGACTTCTATTGGCATTGTTGTATTCCCCATCGCTCACTTTCTCTCCAATCTTGAGATTGATAGCAGTGTGGTTTTGGATGTACTAACATTGCTCAACGAAATCCGAGAAGCACTCGCCTCATATATTCCTTCTGTATCACCGCAACCTGTTAGTCACTGTTTCTCCGAGACTCATAGAGTATTTGCCCCAGCAGCCACAGCACACACAACTGTACTTGATTTGCGCCATGCCCGGCATATTGAAGTCTCATACGAACAAGCACAAACTGAAGAACTTCCACAAGTACACATTTCGATTGTGACAAATGAATTTAGGAGGGTATCAGAAACGTTAAATACGAATTGTGTGGCGTTTAACTCAGGAGGTAAACTAGAAATCACTTCTATACCTACAGGCCAAAATAAGGAGATGACACTCACTGTGAATGCTCAAGTGAGAATTCAGACTCAATCAACACACTGGATTCGAGATATGTGTTTTGCGTTGAGTCAAGCCATCCTCCGTATTACGCATCAACTGCTACTGACTGACTTTCCTGATTCTATTCTCCTTCCAAGGGAAAGCTTGTTTCGCGGTGGACTCTCACAGGAGGTACTTAAGCAATATCGTGTCAGCTCTACTGTAGAAGAGCGTCTTTTGGATAATTCTGACTTGATGGAGCTTATTCGGTTGTGTGAGGGAACAGGTGAGCTTTTTCCAGTGTGGCAAACCATGTACAGTAAGAAGCGAATACCTCATCAAGGACGCCTGGAACCCATTTTGCGTTCATTTTGTGCTGCACATGCATGGCATTTACATCGTCCCAAAAGTGTTCCTCTTGCCAAATTTTTAGAGGAGTCGCTTGAGTTTATGCGCAAAAGGGCATTTCTTATATTGGAGGCCTTGCAGCAGGGAACTAAAGATGCCATGTTGGAGCGGTCTCAATTCTTGTTAAAAATGGTGAACCCTCGTGCTAGGCTTGAGTCGATTATTGCCGAGTATCAACAGACTGAGGAACCGATTACGAGTGAATCTTTATCTGTGAGCAGGGGTGTGATGCCAAGTGTTAGATCCGTTGCAAGTGTTGCTTCTTTCTCTCGCGATCATACGGGGAGTCGAAGTGCCAGTTTTATGAGGCGTTTTGCTACTGGTACGTCGGATTTCTCAAATTTTCAGTATGATACTGCGGGGAGTATTTTTCGACCGCTTAATTCTTTATTGGGTGTTGCGGCTAGACGTGATGGTATGCAAGGTACTCCGGAAAACACTTCCTCACAGATTTTAAATTTTCTTCTTCGAGGATACAATGAAATGAGTAATGACGAACTTATACGTGCGCTCGTTAAAAAGGCTCAGCAAGCAACGATTCACACGGCTGCGTATAGACTACAAGAGGAGTTATGTGCTGCCCATCAATCGGATGAGGGCATGACATCCTCAATAGTCACTTTGCATCTCCTTTACAGAGAGCTGGCACATCTTCAATATGATGGATACACAAAGAGGGACACAAATGGTGGAGATGGTCCCAAGTCCGTCAGCTCAGATGGGCATTCTCGCGCGGAGTCCATGGAACATCACTACATTGAGCTTATGATTGGCTGTGGATTTCATAGGGAGCTCGAGTTACAGAAGGCATCTTGTGGGTTTCTTCACTCCATTATTCAACAAAGTTTATTGAATGATACTGGAAGTGGAAATTGCATTAAGCAAGAAGGCGATGTTGGACCCATTTCCCTGTGTGCGATACTTTGTCATCCATGGGATAATGTGGATATGTCCATCATTCACCCTGCAAAGATTTTTCGGGTTTTGAAAAAATATATGTTTTGGGGTCTTCATGATCAACCATCATCCTCAACAGGAAATCCCGCGGAAAAAGATGCCTGGTTGGATTTTTTAAAGGAATGTGGTATTTTCAGCTTATTGTACCGGGCCGTTATAATACCTAATACGTTTCAGTCTTCTGTTGAGAAAGTCAACATTGTGGAGGGTGACACCATTGGAGTTCAGGTTGAGGACTCGGATGTTTCTTGTTTAGCACGTAATCATTGGAAAGCTCTAAAGGCAGAGACCTACATGAATCATACATACACTGAAAGGGATTTATTTACAGGTTTACTGAGTGGATGTGTTGTGACGGAGATGCCACATGCTCTTTATTTTGAGGTGAACTTGGAGCTTCTTTTCAAAGAGGGACTTTTTTTATCCATTGGACTTACTAGTTCTCCACTTTCTTCATCTATGCAAGTTGGTAAGGAAAATTCCGTCGTGTTTTCTTCAGATGGCATGGTTTCATACGGCAGGTCTACCCATCGTTTTAGCACTAACTGGTTAGTGGGAGATGTGATTGGCTGTGGTGTAATGGCACCTTTTAATAGTGTATTCTTTACTCGAAATGGGGAGTTTTTGGGGATTGCCACGGACTGTTCCTTCCCAACGATGATCCCTCTTGTTGCGGCTCAAGCTTCAACTAGTCTTGTTAAGCTTGTTGTTAATTTTGGGAAGCACAGCCCTTTCCGGTTTGATCTTGCATCATTGCATGGTTCTTGTCGAGCGCGCCTAAACTCGAATCCCATGATTGGTGACAGTGCATTTCTGACGTCCCACTACCTGGTGACGCTTTGCTATAAAAATCTACTACGTCATGAAAAAAACGAATCAACAATAAATGAGGATTCCGTTTGCGCTCTATTGGAAGAGGCAACCATCTTTCTTCGTGAGACGGTTGTGGAATTGGTACGTCGAATTCGGCACTTCTCTATGGAGAGTGCTTCATCTTGGGCACCAAGATCTCGACGCGTTCAGGATGGTAACGCGTTGCTAGCACGATTGTTTCGCACGGTAAATGTTGTCATTGATTGTTTTCAGTTTAATGCTGTGACAAGTACAACACACCTGGAGATCCTGCGGCTTTGTTCAGTGACGTTAATCGACGCGCATGATCGTTGGGCCAAGGTTCGTGCTGCTCGGTGTTTGAGAAATACAGCTCGAACACTTCGACAGGATTACTTTGGAGAGGCTGTTCAGGCGTTGCGACGTTTTGTGACACAAGATATACTTGTGAACTCCCTTGTGGACCTTGCACGCACGAAATTATTTCGAGAGAATGAGACACCCGCATTTGTTCCTCGATGGCTCGGAGGGGCAACTACAGTGATGGGGAAGGGGGCTTTCTATGGTTCTTCACCTATGCCAGCTCGAGGAAGGCATATGATTGGTTTTCGGATCCGCCGACGCCAGCAGGAGGGTCGGGGAGTAGGTGCGCCATTAGGTGGATGCTACTACGTGGGTCTTACTCACGGACATCCACCTGTTTCAAACATGACAAGTCTCATCAGTCGGGACGATGTCTATGTATTACAAGACACAGATGATCAAGATCAAGTGCCACATCTTCTTTTGCGTCGTCATTGTATTCCTAGAAGTAGTCAGCGCCGAATATATGGAAATGATGAAATTGTGTGGTTGGAGCTAAATGCCGACGTGGGAGAGATTACATATTATCGGGATAAGATGGTGCTCA